GGGGCAGGCATGGAGGAGGCCAGGGGCCCTCGGCCTCGAGTCCCAGGTGTCCAACCCCGTGAGGAACGCGAATCCCCGCGCCCTGTGACGGGGAACAATCCTGCTAATGTGCGACCCGGCCTCCCCATCCCAGGAAGACTTCGACCGCCTGCGCTCCCTCTGCTACCCGGACACCGACGTCTTCCTGGCCTGCTTCAGCGTCGTGCAGCCCAGCTCCTTCCAAAACATCACCGAGAAATGGCTGCCCGAGATCCGCACCCACAACCCCCAGGCGCCGGTGCTGCTGGTGGGCACCCAGGCCGACCTCCGGGACGATGTCAACGTCCTGATCCAGCTGGATCAGGGGGGCCGGGAGGGCCCCGTGCCCCAGCCCCAGGCTCAGGGCCTGGCTGAGAAGATCCGCGCCTGCTGCTACCTCGAATGCTCGGCCCTGACCCAGAAGAACTTGAAGGAGGTGTTCGACTCTGCCATTCTCAGTGCCATCGAGCACAAAGCGCGGCTGGAGAAAAAACTGAACGCCAAAGGTGTGCGCACCCTCTCCCGCTGCCGCTGGAAGAAGTTCTTCTGCTTTGTTTGAACAGCTATGGCGGAGTCGGGAGCAACAGGCATGAAGCCCCTGGACATCTGGAGCCTGGGGTCGGGGCTACTGGCGGGACCAGGCTACCCCGTGAGACTCAGTTCCCTTCTGAACACTATGGGGACCTGGGCCTCTAACTGCCCACTCCTGCCAGGTTGAGCCTCGGGCCTGGAAGAAGGGAGGCTGTAACTTGGATTTCTGTGGTTCAAGGCTTTCAGGGAAATCCCAGCACTTTGATTTTCATGGGATGGTCCTCACAGTGTCAGCCACCTCTAAGCAGTTTGGGATCCAATTCCCAGCTTCTTATCACGGGCCCTCGGTCCCGCTGGCTGAATTAGGACCCCCTGTGGATGTCCCCACCCCCTCCTTGGCACAGGGGTGAGGAAGAGCCCAGGGAATAGCTGGGCATCTTGGAGAGCTCGAAGGTGTCCAGCCCTATCTGGGAAGTTTGGGATGGACTGTGTAAGGTAGAAGTCAGTGCGAGATCAAGAGGGAGCAGAAAAGGAGGCCGTGGAGCCTTGGGACTGGAGGCTGGGAAGGAGGAGGCAGGTCAGAGAGCGAGGCCTGGAAGGAGTAAGACACGGAGAGCAGAGAAGTGGAGCAGCTGAGGAGTAAGGCTGATACCTGGGCTGCCCTCAACCCCCAAGGCCAGGGAGGGCGGGGCTGATCCCTGGGAAGAACTGGGTTTCAGGGCTCCCTCGGCACTGCCCAAACTGGCTGGGCTAGGAGTGGGGCAGGAAGTGAGAGGAAAGGCCCAGCAGAGGAGGGGGAGAAGCTGCAAACCAGAATCGGAAGGAAGAAGGGGCTGGGGATCACCTTTTTCTCCAAGGCCGCAGCCTAGAAGGTAGGGCCGTGCAGGCTGCAAATAAAGATTTAAGTTTCTGAAGCTGCTGGCTCCGTGTCATTTCTTGGAATGATGGGCCTATTGCTCTCCTGTAGCCCTCCTCAAGGCCCAGCAGTGGATGGAGACTGGTTGGGTACCAAAGGACTGAGGCTAGATGGAAAGGGGGGGACTGGACTAGAGGGGACAGTGTGATGGGAACCGGACTGGGGGGGCAGGTTTGGGGCTCCCCGCTTGGGGCTTAGCTGGTTCCCAGGAGAGCTAGCGTGGGAAGCAGCCTGGAAACGGGTTTCCCCAGGTGTCAGCGCCAGAGCTGCTTTCCCATGACCTCACCGGGCGGGTGTGCCCCTCCCCTCTCCCCCTCCTTTCTAGAGCACCTTGCTCAGTGCTACGTTCTGGGGCAATCCTGAGCCTTCTAACCCTCCTCTGATCCTTCTAACAGTCCTCAGGGCACAGGGGCTCGGGTTGGGGGCTCTGTTTCAGAGCCTGAGCACGAGAAAGGATCCCATACAGCCTAAACCTCAGCAAGTGGCCACACTTCTTGGACGTGGGTTGGTAGGACTCAGTCTTCAGCCTTGGCACTCAAAGCTCACATAAGGACCCAGTCACAGTACCGATTGTCAATAATTTAAATAGAAATTTGGGCTCAGAAATCCTGTGGGAGTGAGGGTTCATTTTGTGAGGACCTTGGGAGAAGCAAGAATCCAGAGAACATTCCCTAAAATTGGAACTGGAAGGAACTTTACAGAGCTTGAAACATTGATCAGCTGCCTCCTGCACACCCCCTCCTGGAGATGTGCCCCCAACCAAGGTACATGCCCTTGACCGGAATCGAACCTGGGACCCTTCAGTCCCCAGGCCAATGCTCTATCCACTGAGCCAAACCAGTTAGGGCTTGGAAGGAACTTTAAAGGGCACCTTGGGGTGGGGGGGGACCACTTTATTTCACCCATAAGGAAAGTGAGGCCCAGAGAAAAAGGTAATATCTCACTTGATATTACCAAGTGGCTGTAAGAGCACTTTGCAAACTCTAGAGTTGGGTACATGGGTAAGTGTTATTGCTGTGGAGAGGTATTTCTAAGGCACACCTCCGACACCTGTTAAGCAACTGCTGGGCCAGGTGAGCACTCACCCTGTCTCAGTCCAGCTCCCTCTGTAGGAAGTTACAGCTTGTGTGTGTACTAGTATGTGTGTGAAAAAGAGAATGGCTGAGGGACAGAAATCCCAGCCAAGTGAAACCTCAGATAATCCCCAAGTTTAGTTTTAGCCAAGACTGCCCATCAGCTGCCCCACCAGGGCCCATCCCCCAGGGCTCCAGCCCCCTCTTCTCCTTTTGTGCCCTTGCCCCTTCAGGTGGAGGTGCTGAGCTGCACAGCTGAGCCAGGTCCCGAAGAAGTCTCACACTCCAGCTCCACAGCCTACTATTTCCTCAGCCCAGCCTGACACACCCCCAGCTGGGGCAGAGACCTGGGTTCAAGATAGGGTCTGACATCAACCATGACCTTAGGCAAATCTTTCCCCTTCTCTGTGCCTCAATATCCTTATTTGCAAAATAAAAGACTCATGACTCTGAATTAGAGGTTTTTCAAACTGCTCAAGGGTCCTTAGATGTACCAAGGATTGGGAGAGGAAGCTTAATCAGATGACCTCTGCCCTGGCCCCTTCCCCCCCAATCGTTTCCTTAGACTCTGAGGGTACCAGCCATCCACATCACTGTGTCTCCTCTCCTGCTGGGTCGTGGCGCCTGGTCAGAACCTCCATCAGCCTCACCTCTATGTCCCTGCCCCTGACGCTCCCCACTCCAGTCCCTCCAGCACTACTGCCTTCCCTCTGGCACCTCTGACTCAAGACTGTTACCAGCTCTCATCACCAGCAATGAACTCCCAGCTTCTCATTTCAGCGTTCAAGGCCTTCTCAAATCTGACCCAACCTGGACTAGGCCAGCCTGTCCCGGTGATCCCCACTCCCTGATTCCCAATTATTGCTTGAATTCTGACTCCAAGTCTTTGCTTTTGCCAAATCCTCTAGTTTGGAAAGTGTCCCCTACTCATGCCCTGTTTTTCCTCTAATCACCTTCCAATACTGCCCTTCTCCGGGAAATGCCTCTTACCTGTAGCAGCGGCCACACTGCTCTCTCAGCACATTGAAGACACTGAATTTGGTCATGCGCTCAAGCTGTATCTCCCCAGCTACTCTGAGAGAAAGTCCCACTCATGCCTCTGTGCTCTCACAGGATCTTGGGCTCAAGCAATATTTGCTGCTGGGCTTTAAGAGCTTAAGAAGCCAACCAGTTCAGCTCCAAGTTTGTGTCACTGAAGCCTGGGACAGCCCTAAGAGCGTGGCTTGCTAGGAAGGCCTGTGTAGGACCAAAGGAATTTACCTCGGGTTCCAAATCCTGCTTCTGTCTCTCTATATAACACAATCTCTCTCTACCATTTTTTTTTATCTGAGAGAGAGAGAGAGAGAGATCAATTTGTTGTTTCACTTATTTATGCATTCATTGGTTGATTCTTGTATGTGCCCTGACTGTGAATCGAACCTGCAACCTTGGTGTATCAGGACAATGATCTAACCAACTGAGCTACTCGGCCAGGGCTCTCTCTACTTTTCTGGTACTGTTTTTATCTCTTTATCTCTCCTTCCTTTGCTTAGATTAACTGGATAAAATTCTGTTTTTTACATATACATTTGTACATATGCCCTTATCGATGTAAAATTTTTAATGTCTGTGTAACCAACCCTTAGTAGATTTTAAATATGTATTTAGTTTTTCCATATAAATACTCAGAAAAAATTGGAAAATTCAAAAAATTAGATTAAAAATTTACATAGTGCGAACTCTCAAAGATAATAACATTTTTAATATGTTTTTTAAAAATATGTTTTTATTGATTTCAGAGAGGAAGGGAGAAGGAGAGGTAGAAACATCAACGATGAGAGAGAATCATTGATTGGCTGCCTGCTGCACGCCCCCTACTAGGGACTGAGCCAGCAACCTGGGCATGTGCCCTGACTGTGACATCCTGGTTCACAGGTCGACTTCAACCACTGAGCCACACCTGCTGGGCTCCTATTTTCATTTCAATGGCAGAGTTAAATATTAGCAAGGGTAAGAAGTGTGGGCCCTGAGAAAGAAGATACCAAGAAGGGCTCCTGGTGACTAAGTGGGCTCAAATGTAGAAGCAGAGCACATCTTCCAGTCTTTCCGTGTATGCATATTGAAAAAAATTTGTTTGTTTTATTAATCCTCACCCAAGACACATCAATTGGTTGTCTCCCACACTCGCCCCGACCAGGGTTGGCCATCGAACCTGTAGCCCAGGTACGTGCACTTGACCGGGAATCGAACCCAGGACCCTTCAGTGCCCAGGCTGATGTTTTAACCACTGAGAAATACAAGGCAGGGCTGTATGCAAATTTTGGAAGTATTTTTGTGACATGTTACGTGTACAATTTGGTATTTTTGCTTTTTTTCATTTAAAAATTTAACAGTGTTTTTCATGTGATTATAAAATCTGAGGCTGTAAACATAGTGTCTGTTTGTTTACTATTTCACCCTGACCATAACTTCTTCAACTAGATCCCCATTTGGGGGCATTTAGGCTCTAACTTTTTTTTTCTATTATAAAGATGACTACATCAATAGTGATTATTTTTTCTACCATTGGTTGGTGACCACCTACAGAAAAGTCATTGTCTTTGACTTAGAGACTGGGCCCCAATACAATCCCAAGTTACTCTTTAAAAAGGAAAAAAAAACATTTTCATTGCTTTTAGAGAGAGAGGAAGGAAGAGGAATAGATAGAAACATTGATCTACTGCAACCTGGGCATGTGCCCTGATTGGGAATTCAACCGGCAACCTCTTGGTTGGTGGGTGGATGGACAACCACTGAGCCACACCAGCCGGGCCCAAGTTTCTCTTGAGGGAGCTTGGGTGTCTGTGTACATGTGACTCGGTGGGGAGAGGCTTTTTCTATGGGAGCATTACTAGCAGAGTGCAGGTGTCCAATAAACACAAATACTAAATGATGACGTTTATATGTCTGTGTCCATATACATTTTCCGTGTTCTTGTTTTTGCTCTTGTGTATTTAAGGTATGTATTGTCTTTGTGCAAAACTCCGAATAATCCCATATTCATGCAAGTCTGTATCTTTATGTCTGTAAACGTGGAAGTCTATGTTTATAGAAGATGTGTATAGCTCTGTATGTGTGTCTGTATAACCAGATGTCTGCCCTTGGGAGTGTATATTATACATAATCCTATATGTGTGTCTGGGCCTAGTTTATTGGGGGCTGAATGTCTGTGTCTGTCTGCCTAAGGTCAGTTCTGTGTGGCTGTCTTTCTTCATGTGCATCTCCTGCTGGGTGTGTGTGCTGGGCCTGGGTTGGTGTGTACCTCGCTTGCTTTCCCCCTGGGAGCAGAATAGAGCCCAGGGCAGAGGTGACACACCCTCCCTGAGCTCCCCGTTCTCCTGGGAACCAGCCTGGGAGAGTGAGTGAGACCAAGAGCAGACTGCGTCAGGAGCTCGGGCCCCTTTTGCAACCAGCCCAGGCCCCAGGCGGTAACTGTGGCTCTCACAGGTCAGACCTGCCCACTGTGCCTGGCTGCCAGGAAGCCCGGCTCCCAGCAGGGCTATGCTGTCAGCTCCCTCCTTGGGCCTGGGCCAGATCCTCTGTGAGCAGCGCTCAGCCAGCAGAGGGGCCACATTAGTCACCCTGTGGCAACAGCAGGGAGTGACTTCCTGGGCCTGGGCAGTGCTGGCTGTCCCAGGGCACCATTGCTTTCGGGCCCTGTACGCAGCAATGCTTAGGCAGCCTGATCTCTATTATCACCTTCTCTTCTTACAACTGAACTTCAGGATAGGTCAGGTGGCTCTTTAAAAATTTTTTATTTATTTATTAGAGAGAAACATCAATTTGTTGTTCCACTGATTTATGCCTTCATTGGTTGATTTTTATATGTGCCCTGACCAGGAGGCTGGGAAGCATGGTTTATGGGACAGACTAGGATTAGGGGTCCTCAAGCTTTTTAAACAGGGGG